GCTAAAGCTGCAGCATGTTGCCTGACCTGCTCTGTCACCTCTTTCAGCCCATCGTGGAGCGGAGGCTGCTGTAACAGACTGCTCCTCTCATTCTGATGGCTGGGGCTGATTTCCTTACTAAAACAGCACCCCATCTTCTCCGGCCTAAAGTGGGAATAAAACACAAGACTGCTATGGCCACACACACTAGGAGCCTACACAACACGAGACAAAATCATGAGCAGCTCCTCACTATGGCTCAGCCACATGCAAAAAGAGAAAAGACCCTCTGCTCCCCCCTGCTTCGCCCCTTCCCTTCCCGTTTTCCCCTCCCCTGCCCAGAATAGCAAATGTGAAGGAGCTCACATGTCCCTGCCACTCAACAGAGGGCTGCACACCACTTTGTGTGTGTGTGTGTGTGTGTGTGTGTGTGTGTGTGTGTGTGTGTGTGTGTGAATGCATGTGGGAGCCCTAGTTAGGCTACAGTTTGAGAGGGGTCAGCACATGGCCCAGTGGCCACCAATCACAGAGCAGAAATGCAGCAGTGTCCACACCCCCCTCTCCCTCCCTGAAACTCCCACTTCTTCCTTCCTCCCATCCCACCATTCACTTGTCTTTCCCTCCCACTGATACCTTTCCCTTTGACTTACATCAGTTCTGCTGTTGCTGCTTCAACAAACTCCCCCACCAAAAAATAAAAACGCAACACACATACTCAGGCAACACACATACTCAGGCTTCATGCCCAAGCATGTCGTAACAGTCCATCATCTTTTTTTTAATAATACAACTTTACTTTTTAACATAGTTATTTCTAGCTGGGTGTTAGATGCGGTACATATTGTACAAAGTTCCTTGAGGGAAATTTGTGATTTGGGGCCTTATGAAAAAACTGACTTGACTTTTTCAAATAAAATTTGGTTTCCAGGCTGAAATCTGACAACAACGCTGAGTCTAAAGAAGCTTGTGTGTCTGGTGAGTGTGCAGTGAGGAGACCAGATCAGATTGCTGATTAGTTCTGTTACTTTAAATTAGTGCTTTACTTTAGATATGGTTATTTAAGTACTGTAGGAGTGTGTGTGTAGTAAGGGTTAAATATTACGGTACCTGGTAAAAGTAGTAGAACGGAGGATCCAGTGCTTCAGGCGGTAACTGCACCTGTAGATAAGCTGGACACAGTGGATTCTGGCCTGACGTCATGTGACACGGGCTGATGGGCAACTCAACGGGACGAGTGCTGCTGCTGTCGATGGTCACCACGGAGACTGCAGAGAGAAGGAAATGAGTCACAACACCAGCTGGCATGATGGAAACACTCTAACAGGATTACTCAATATGGACTAAAACTGGTAAATACTGCAGACTGAACTGCTGTAAAGTGAACAACAGAGTCATATTCTTATATGTGTTTGTGATAAGCAGATGCCCATGTAAAAGGTCCAACTCAATCTATCACTATGACCACTTTGAATATTTATTACAACTTTTCTGTACTAAATCAGTTAAGAATTTAATATATAAATGTCAAAATAAAACAAATGCTAATCACAATTTATCAGAGCAGAAAATCCATCTTTGTCTGACAAACTGTTAAATACTCAAACAAATTAGCGGTCACATAAGTCACACTTTAACCAGTTATTTTTGAGATATTTTAGCTTAATGTGAGATTTAAGGGATTGCATTTATCAAAACAAGTAAGTAATTATTTTTTCTGTGATTTCACAAACTAATGTCAATGCAATCTCGTACAGTACATCATCTGTTAGACTGTTTCAATCATTTTAAAAAGAAAGCACCTGTATGCCACAGAGAGAGCATGTGGTGACCAGGGGCAAGACCACTAGGCAATTAAAAACACTATAAAATTACTCTGCAACAGTTTTTATAATCTTTTACATTATTTATTTAGCAGAAATGACAAACATTTTCTGACTCTGTTCAGTTTTGTTTAAGTGGGGATATATGGGGTAGTTATCAATAGACAGGATATTACATACATTAGATGGCGGCAGGTGCACCCCCAGCTTAAAGAAGCCCAGTGGAGTCCAACAAGGAAGCTAAGCAGTGTCCTGCTGTGGATGGGTTAGCAACAAAACATATTTTAGCCACCTAACAAAGTCTGACCTAAAAACAACAATCAATATCAGTTTAAGTGTATGCTATAGTATAGTATTTTCACTGCTTCACCTTGATGTCAGATAGTTATTATTTCACATGGGAAAATTAAGCTGTTACATAGCTCTCTTCAAAGACAGACTCCACTGAGAAAAACAGTGATTTAACATTGCTACAAAATACTGTTTTTGTTGATGGAGTCTGGTGGCCATGATGAAAGCATATATGTGGAACTGAAGCTCTTTCGCAACTGTAAAGCAGCGAAAATACTGCTTTTTGAAACTGAAATAGATTTTTTTTTAGGTGGCTAAATTATGTTCTGTTGCTGACCGCCATCCACAGTATAACAATGCTCAGCATCTGTGTTGAACTCCAGCCTCTTTATCCAAACTGAGGGCGTGCTGACTGACCTCTACAATAATACCTGAGGATGGTTGGAAAAACCCCAATTCAAAAGGAGTGATCTATCCCTTTAAGTACAGTATTTAAATAAATGTACTTAGCTACATCCACAAATACAGTATATCCATGTAATTATACACTTTGTATGTATGCAGACTTACTTGACCTTCTATCTTTTACATCTTACTTTGCCTTCCTGGGATTCTGCACATGAATTTACACCACTTCACATCAATAACACATTTAATTAACGTTAATGCCAGTTAGCCTGCTAAATTAAATGACAGACAAAGACTGACACTTGAATAGTTGATAGGGAAAAACATTGACTTCTTATTAATTTCTGGTCTGCCAACAACTTTCCTGATAGAGTAACAGTTACAAACTGACATTAACGGCTAATTCCCCAAGCATCGGGCTAACAAACTTTGCATGCTACAGCCTTAACAGTTAACGTTAACTAACATTAGGTTGACTTTCACACACTCAACTTCCCCACATTAAAAACGACCAAAATGAGGAATTTCAATAAGAGTTTTGCAGTACAACTTCTGCAAACTAACAAATACCAGTGTATTTAAAATAAAAGTTAGGTCTGGCTTGTTTTAACCTAACGTTACCATTCAGGTGCCCGGAGTAACGTTAGCTAAGGTTAAGGTCATAACCGGTTAAGGTTATGACAGTCCTCTCGGTTGACAATTTGTGTAAAGGTTATGACTTTGTTACTTTATCAGAAAAAAATAAGATAAAATTAAAAACACTTCTGCAAATGTAAGTGAAGCTAACAGAGCTGCTGACACGCGATCTTCCGGAACACAGACGGCATTTCAGGCGAATAGCAGCAGCTAATGGAGCCTCTGATCATGCTAACCGCTAGCTACCTAACGTTACTGTTAGCTACTTAACGTCCACAAATAGAATAACGATAACGGTAAACAGAGGCTAACGGTTACGACAAGCTAAAGCTAACGTTATGTTTAATAAATCAACCTTCTGTTGAAAAAAACGGGCTGTGTCCGAGTTGTTTTTCATAGTGGCGTTTCAGGAACTCACCTGTCACCTGCCCTCCTGCTGCGTTGAAGTCAAGCTTGATTTCTGACGGTGTGTTTGCGGGACTGTCTCTGCATTTGCTTCCACAAAAGCCGCCTGTTAACGTTACTTTCCCGACCGTGTTCACGCTCTGTCGTTGCCATAGAAACTGCACAACTGTTTCAGTAGGACTAAACACTTATATTATTTTATTAATATTTTGGATATTTTTTTGACAGCATTTTAGAAATACTGAAGTCAAGAGACCGCCAGCGACACTCCCACCACCCACTGGGAATTTTGACAGGAAACCCACCACGTGTTAGCCATGTGTTTTTCATTTTAAACTTCCCCATAAATTCAAGGATGATAAATGTATTTTAATGACAGGACATCAGGGCTGATGACAGGATTGTTTTTAGAAATGCTGAGGTCATGAGACTGGAAACATATTTCCCAACACCCACTGGATATTTTGACCTTAACTGTCCCAATTTATCTTAAATTAGATTTTTAAATCCAATTATTGATTAAATTACCCGCTATGAAAACGGAAACTCTTTTTTTTATTTTATTTTATTCTATTTATTAGTATTCCGTTCACTTCCAAGCTGATGCCAGGATATTAGAAATACTGATGTCCCCAAACACACCCCAGATCACTACCCTTGAAAAAAGTTGAAAATAAATTGAAAATATCCCATATTTTCTAAAATTATTAGAATTTTTCATATTTCATTTAAGCAGTTCATTGTTCATTTATTTTTTATTTTCCAATATAAAGATCTCAATGCTGTTTCACAGTCTTTTCTACTCTGATAGGAAAATATTGCGGGATGAAAGCTGCTAATTTTATTTTGTTGCTCTACAAGTCAGCAAAAATAGCCAGGAATAGTAGATTCAGGAAAGAAACACAGTTGTGTGTTAGTCTTTATTGCAAACTTCCTAAATCTTTTTTTTTTTTTTTTTTTAGATTTCATTTATTGTGTTTACTGCTCAGTTATACTAATTTTATATCGCAACATACAGGTCTAAATACTGTTTCAAAGCATTTCATTATTATGTTTGAGGCCTATAAGTAGTAAAATGTTACATGATACTTGATTCAAAAATGACTCAAAAATGCCCACCATGTGCTAGCAATGTGTACGTTTTTAATTATAAACTATGAAAATTAAAATATCTGATTTAGGCTACCAGGGCTGCCAGGATTTTAAAATATGGATGGATGATCATTTTGTCTATTGGAATGTATTGAAATATACATGTAAAGGGTATAAAAAGACTTAATGAGGCTTATGAAATAGCCACCATATGTTAAATTTCAACTGTAACAACCCTGCAGGTTGCTAAAACTCCCAAATTCATTGAAAAAAATACAACATCACCCTGCAGCACACATAAATTCACTTCTCAATGTTCATGAACAAGATGAAAATTTAATGAGAAAAAAAATGTAAGTACATGTTCATTGGTTGATTGGTTGGCTCATATTATTCATCAAAAAGCAAAGGATGTTTTTCAACAATAAAAAGAGAACATTTTTACATAACTTCAATCTCCCTGTAGCTAAGAAGTGAAATAACCTTTCGAAACCAGACCTTTGAGTATTACAAGATAAGAGTCACATGTATAGCTTAATAAAAAAAATAAATAAATTAAAAAAAAAAAAAACTAAGATCCATTAATTTCCAAGTCTCTGGATTCAACCTGCTCTTGTGAGGCAAATGTCGGGGTGAAACTGTGCGGAATTAAGAGTTCCTACTCTGAGGAGCTGGAGTGCTTTTATCTCCTCCTGTAAAGAACATGATTACTGATGTAGCCAGAGCTGAAGGGGCTCCTGCGATCAAGAGTTCATTCATTGAAGTGCATGTGGAGCCCTGTGGAGAGGAGGAATCCCCCAGCATGCTCTCTGACACAACTCGACTCTGTTAGAGTGCACCAGGGTTCTTGGAGAGAGTGCAGTGGTGGATCAGGAGTACAGGCTCCAGTAGATGGTGTTGAAGAGCAGGTAGGACAGAGGGAAGGCCAGACGGGAGTACGAGTCAATCATGTAGCTGTTGTTGACAAACAGGTCCACATTTTCACGCACGGACCGCTGCCGGCGGAGGCGAGTCCCCTCTGTGGGCCGGATGTCTGGGGCCTGGTCTGGCGTGGCGAGGGGGTCAGAGGTCATGGTGGGTGCCATGCGGGAGAAAGGAGTCAGCTCAATGTCGTTGTCATGGAAACAGCCATCAAAGGCCATCGCCTGGCTGGCGTTGAAGGTGGATGGGATCTAGAACAGTAAGCATTCAGAACATGAGCCCACAGATCATACTGTGTATTGTTTATATTTCGGTTACACTCTCAAACATACATCAACATATTCTTAGATGAAATTTGGACTTTAAAACTGCTGTAATCAATATTTTCACACAAACACTGGATCATAAGTCTGATCAACAGTCCAAACATTAAAATGATTAAGTTTACTGTCATTTAAGACGGAAAAAAAATCACATTTGAGAAGCTGAAACCTTTAATCTGTAATTAGGATTTTGGGTGGTACATAAAAAAATGTGAGTTGCATATATGTCAAATACTGTGTAAACTGTTTAAGTAATGGCAAAGGGGTAGGTTAATATAAGAGTATACTTCTTAATATTTTTTGGTGTGTAAATCTTTAATATTGCATATGAGAACTTGTATATTGTGAGTTTATGTTTACTGTTCAGTTAATTTGTTATTCTTGTTCTGTTTTTGCTTGTGTTTTTAAATGTGAAAAATACATAAATCTAATATGAAGCAATGGCTGACAGTTTTGACAATTTACTAAATAGGTAATTAATACATTTATGTGTCTGATATCTTTACTTATTTATTATTTATTATGAAGTTTTAGTCTGTTCGTGTTTATCTTAGGTTGTTTATATGTGTTCTGAATATAAAACTAAAAAAATCTGAAAATAAAATTTAAAAATATATATAATTTAAAGGTCCTGTGTGCAGGATTTAGGGGGATATATTGGCAGAAACTGAATGTAATATAACAAGTATGTTTTCTTTAGTGTATAATCACCTGAAAAACAGAATGATGTCATGTTTTCATTATCTTTGAATGGGCTGTTTCTATCTACATACAGAGCAGATCCTCGTCCATGGAGTCCCCCATGTTGCACCATCATGTTTCTACAGTAGCCTAGAGTGGACAAACCAAACACTGGTTCTAAATAGGGACATTCACATTTTTGTGTCTTCTCGTTTTCGCATCAGCCACCTTGGTTAGAAGCCCCTCCGTGCAAGCAGCGTTGGAAAAACATACTTTTTTAATGTTTTATTCAGTGTTTTTACTTGATTAGATCACCAGGTCTGTTTCTTTTGGAGAGGAGACCTCTGCGGATAATTGGGCTCCTGCTAAAAACATTGTGGATCGAGTGGCCCTTGGTGGCGGTGGGGTTATGGTATGGGCAGGCGTATGTTATGGACAACGAACACAGGTGCATTTTATTGATTGCATTTTGAATGCACAGAGATACCGTGACGAGATCCTGAGGCCCATTGTTGTGCCATTCATCCATGACCATCACCTCATGTTAATGACGAGCATGATAATGCACTGCCCCATGTTGCATGGATCTGTACACAATTCTTGGAAGCTGAAAACATCCCAGTTCTTGCATGGCCAGCATACTCACCAGACATGTCACCCATTGAGCATGTTTGGGATGCTCTGGATTGGCGTATACGACAGCGTGTTCCAGTTCCTGCCAATATCCAGCAACTTCGCACAGCCATTGAAGAGGAGTGGACAAACATTCCACAGGCCATAATCAACAACCTGATCAACTCTATGCGAAGGAGATGTGTTGCACTGCGTGAGGCAAATGGTGGTCACACCAGATACTGACTGGTTTTCTGACCCCCCCAGACCCCCCCAATAAAGCAAAACTGAACATTTTAGAGTGGCCTTTTATTGTGGCCAGCCTAAGGCACACCTGTGCAATAATCATGCTGTCTAATCAGCATCTTGATATGCCACACCTGTGAGGTGGGATGGATTATCTCGGCAAAGGAGAAGTGCTCACTAACACAGATTTAGACAGATTTGTGAACAATATTTGAGGGAAATGGTCTTTTGTGTGTATAGAAAATGTTTTAGATCTTTGAGTTCAGCTCATGAAAAATGGGAGCAAAAACAAAAGTGTTGCGTTTATATTTTTGTTCAGTGTATTTTTCTTCATAGTTCTGGATATGTTATCTATGTAAAATCTTAATTTGTAAAATAACTAGTAACTGCAGCTATTAGATAAATGCAGTGGAGTAGAAGTCAAGTGTCATGGAATTACTCAAATAAAGTACAGATACCTGCATCTGGAGTTAATGTACTATAATGTGGTAACATTCCACCCCTGAAAAATGCTCCATCTCTTGTAGAAAATGCCAGACTGTAATGTTTCTATTTAATCACTAGAGGGAGACATTAAGTTAAATATGTTATCCCCGTCAGTGTTGGTGCTGTAATAATCTCCCCTTTGGTCCCCTGTGCTTCTGACCTTCCCTCTCTTCATCTTCCTCATCTCCTCCAGAGTGGTGCAGTAGTTTACCGCCGCATATTCAATTACAGACAGGAAGACAAACAGGAAGCTGGTCCACAGGTAGATGTCCACTGCTTTCACGTACGATACCTGGAAAACAGAGACACACACACAGTCACACACAGAAAAAAAAATCATATACAGCTGACTGAGTTATTCTGTTCATATTCACAATAATCACTGAAAAAGGAAGCAAATATTGTGCAGGATTTTACACCTTTAAAAATCCAGCATTTTATAAATTGACAGCATAGTACCTGTAGTGCTATTTATCAATTTAGATTATTTTGGTCTGAGTTACAAAGTGTTGGAGATATCAGCTGTAGAGATGTCTGCCTTCTCTTCAGTATAATGGAACTAGATGGCACTTGGCTTGTGGTGCTCAAAGTGCCAAAAAAATACAATTGAAAAACTCCACAGCAATGTCTCAATTTAAATTGGAAACTATTTTCTTTCTACCGAACTAAATCCTCCAACTGTATCACCATTCAACCAAAGCAAACCCAGCTGTCACCTGAGGCATAGAGGAGGACACTCCAGTGATGATGGTGGACATGGTAAGCACTGTGGTTATACCTGCAGGAGGAGAGAGCACAGGTGATTTTACATTACAACAAATCTTTGTTAAGTGTTGGTATGGTAGATACTGAAACCAGATAAGCCTTCAGTGCTCAGTGTCAATACTTCATGTTGTAGGAAGGTTTATATAATTACTATGTGAAGGGTAGATGTCATTTACATCAACATTCAAAGACAAAGAAGAAAGACTTTTACTGACAAACACGATACATTTTCTATAACTATTTTAATTCAATTTTTATATTATGTTTTTTTTTTATTTTAGAGTCAGAAATAGACTTTTCAACCTTCTAAAATCTTAATTTTATACTATTTTGTTCACTTAGATTAGTAGTACGATTTTTTTTCTGGCGCAGTGGATATAAAGCAGAAGGAATAAAACCAGAGTGGTAATGTATTTTGTTAAGGAAAAAACACTTAATTCAACATTGTCTTGTCATTGTCTTGACTTTTAAATCTATTATAGATCCTTGTGTAACTGAAAAAATGAATAACTTGTACTTAACACGGATTGGTTTTCGTTCAGTATATAAATGAAATATTTACTGTATAAGTGCACCTGCTGTGTGTCCCAACAATAAAAATATGTTCACAAAGTCATGGTTTTCTCCTCCCACAAAAAGCTGGTCCCTGTAAAGTAAATGATGAAATTTTAGGGTTCAGACTTTTTTGGTTCATGTTAATATGAAAGTTTGGTGTTACCCAGAGAGACACGCGCAGGAACAGCCCTCCTGTCGATCCAGAAGGAGACCCAGGACAGGACGACCATCAGCATGGTGGGGAAGTATGTCTGCAGCATGAAGAAGAAGATGTGCCTCCGCAGGATGAAGTTAATGAACAGACGATTGTACCAACCTGACAGACAGACAAACGGGGAGACGCTTATTGTTGAAATCACCTTCATTAGTTTGCTGCTATAACATTCAACTCAGGTCAATTCAGTTTTACTTATGAGGCTCAAAATCACGAATTACAATTTGCCCCAGGTTCTTTCCAACACACAACACCCTCTGTTCTTTGACCCTCACTGCAAATAAGGAAAAACTCCACACAAAAAAAAACTAACGGGGAAAAAATGGAAGAACCCTTAGGAGAGCAACTGAGGAGGGACCCCTCTTCCAGGACGATGAACAGACATGCAATAGATGTCGTGTGTACAAAACAGATCAACATAACAAAATTAAAGTAAAGCCAATCCATGGGAAGTACTTGATGATTGAGACCTGGATTTTTCTGCACGAGATGTGTGAGAGTTTGTAAACAGGTGTTTTGATATATATTCAATTTATGAAAAATTTGATATATATTCAATTTATGAAAAATGTTTCCTTTTTTTCAAGTTTCCATTCACCGTGCAGTCTGTTCAACATTCACAAATGGTCATTTTGTAGGCGAAGTATAAGCATCAAATATACTTTAAATAGCAGAAGTAAAAGTACTGGTATTGCAAAATGACCTGTATCAGAATAATGTATATTATATTTCTGAATTTTAATTAGTGATGCATTAATGTGTTCATCACTTTAATGTTACGGCTGGTGAAGGTGGAGATCATTTTAATGACTTCATATACTGCTCGGTAGATTGAGACACAATAATCTGAATCTGCAAAGTAATTTAGGTTATAAAAGATATGGTTATAAAATGGACACTCACTAGTAAACACTCAAGTAAAATACAAGTATCTTAAAACTGTACTTAAGTACAGTACTTGAGTAAATTTACTTACATTGCACCACTGTTTATGTTGTTGTGTCACCTCATAATGAGGGCTAACCACTGGTCTGATATATCTCTGTATGCTGTTGCATTCATATTTACCCTCGCTAGAACACAAAGGTTTGTAGACAGAAGTGTCCACATACTTTTAGCCAATGACTATAAACAAGTATGATGCCTCTTACATCACACTGCATTGTACTTTCAGTAGTGAACCACTTTCTGCATCCCTTTGAAAACAGAAACCTCTCAGCCCTTTCACTGTGAATGTGGGGTATTACACTACCACACACACACACACACACACACACACACACACACACACACAAACACACACACACACAGACAGACCTGTGCTGCTGTAGAAAGCCAGGCCACTAGAGGCTTGGAAATGCTCAATGAAGAACTGAGACAAGACGATCTCATCCGTCCTCAGAGAGTCGTTCCCATTCTTCCAGTAAAGCATCAGGTCGTTCTCATTATATGCATCTGAAGAGAGAGAGCAAGAGACAGAGAGAGAGAGGGAGGTGTTCAGTGTCATGAAAAATAGAGGGAACATGAGAGCTGAGAAAAGAGAGAGGATGTTGGCAGTCGTCTCAGTTTATCCTGCCATTTCCTTATTTTCAGAGGTGGAGGAAGTTATCAGATCTTTTACCTTAGTAAAAGCAGCAGTACCACGGTGCAGAAATACTTGGAGTCAAAATATACTTCAAGTGAAAAAAGTACAAGTACTCATTATGCAGAATGGCCCATTCCAGAATAATATACTACCAATATTATTAGTAGTAGCCAGCAGATATCTGAGCCAAGACTTTCTCTTACATGCACCAGCCATTTTGGGAAATCTCTACAAACAGATATCTGCACATGAACGCAGGTTTTGAAAAAGCTAATTTGTGGGCTAACTTGTTAGCTAACTTGTCATTAGACATAGAGTGCTCTGAGATTGAATTTGAATTTCCCCTGGTCAAAACTACTGAGGCTACAAACGGAAACCAAAATACTTTTTGTCTCATCACCTATAGTGATATTATAATCAATTTTATATAATCATAATAATAATAATAACAATAATGATACGTTTCTGGCTAGGGACTCCATAGAACTTCTGGGGGACTTCAATGCTCACATGGGCATAGACAGAGATGCCTGGAGGGGGGGTGATTGGGAGGAACAGCCTGCCTGATCTGAACATGAGTGGTGTTTTGTTATTGGACTTCTGCGCTAGTCATGGATTGGCTATAATGAACACCATGTTCAAGCACAGGGACTTTCATAAGTGTACCTAGTACCAGAACACTGAAGCCAAAGATCGATGATCAACTTCATGGTCGTATCATCAGATCTGCTCCATGTGTCTTGGACACTAGGGTGAAAAGAGGTGCAGAGCTGTCAACTGATCACCACCTGGTGGTGAGTTGAATCAGATGGCAGGGGAGGCTGATGGACAGACCTGGTAAACCCATGTCCCAAACCTCCAGGGGGAGGTTGGTGACATGGAATCCAAGTGGGTGGATATCGTTAAGCAGTGGAAGGAGCACTCTGACAAACTCCTGAATCCTGCTGTCATGTCCACTGTGGAGGAGGAAGAGCCTTAAGACTCAGGGGAACTCTCGTCCATATCCCTGGCAGAGGTTGCTGAGATGGTCAAAAAGTTCCCCAGTGGCAAGGTGCTGGGTGTGGATGAGACTGACACTGATGTGCTGAAGGCTCCAGACATTGTTGGGCTGCCTTGGCTGACACGCCTTTTCAGTGTTGAGTGGAGGTCAGGTACTGTGCCTGTGGAGTGGCAGACAGAGGTGGTGGTCCCCAATTTCAAAAAAGGGGTCCAGAGGGTGTGCTCCGATCATCGGGGTATCACACTGCTCAGCCTCCCAGGTAAAGTTTACTTCAGGGTGCTGGAAAGGAGGCTCCGACAAATTGTTGCACCTCGGATTCAGGAGGAGCAATGTGGATTCTGTCCTGGCTATGGAAGAGTGGACCAGCTCTTTACCCTTGTGAGGCTGCTGGAGGGGTCGTAGGAGTTTGTTCATCCAGTCTACATGTGCTTTGTGGACTTGGAGAAGGCCTATGACTGCATCCCTTGGACAGTCTTGTGGGGGGCACTGCGAGATTATGGGGTACCAGATTATGGGTTGCTGCTATGAGCCGTCTGGTCCCTGTATGACCAAAGTGAGAGCTGCGTCCACATACTTGGTGTGAAGTAAAACACGTTCTTGGTGGGTGTTAGCCTTCGACAGGGTTTTCCCCCGTCACTGATCCTGTTTGTGATAATCATGGACAGGATCTCAAGGCACAGCCGAGGTGAGGAAGGGGTCACGTTTGGGCAAAACTTTCCATTTAGTGGTCCATCTATGTCCCAACCCTCACCTATGGTCATGAGCTCTAGGTAGTTACCGAAAGAATGAGATCACGGATACAAGTGGCCAAAATAAGTTTCCTTTGTGGGGTGGCTGGGCTGAGCCTTAGAGATAGGGTAAAGAGCTTGGACATCTGCCGCTGCTCCTTTGCATCGAAAGGGGTCAGTTGAGGTGGTTCTTGCAACTGATCAGAATGCCTCCTGGGCACCTCCTGTTAGGAGACACCAGAGCAGATCAAGAACACGCTGGAGGGACTACATATCTCATCTAGCCTGGGAACACCTTGGGGTCCCCCAGGAGGAGCTGGAAAGCGTTGCTGGGGAGAGGGATGTCTGGCATGCTTTGCTTGGCCTGCTGCCCCCCAACCTGGTCCCAGATTAGTAGATGAAAATAGATGAATAAATGGACTTTAATGTACCAGCCGGTACAGATGGAGCTACTTTAAATTGCTATGTATTTTCTTCTAGGAACCAATAAAGTTTAATATTAATCTATATTATTTCGTCATAATATATTGGTGGAATCAGTGGACGGAAAATATAGTGTAGTAGGTGTATTAAGTAGCAGAAAATGGAAATACTCAAGTAAAGTGTAGGTACCTCAAAACTGTACTTCAGTACAGTACTTGTAAATGTAGTACAGTAAATGTACGTTGTCATATTCCACCACTGTTTATATTGTTGTTTAGTTGTTGCATGTGTCGCCTCATGATGTAAGAAGACGAGGGGAAGTGCAGCATATACTGTGTGCATGTGTGTGCCCCTCACAGCTCTCCAGCTCCAGTGAGCAGTTCTGTGTGTCCAGAGGGAAGCTGCTGAAGTCCATCGAGCAGAGCGCCGTTACTGTGACCCTGAAACACCCGAAAAACAATATAAGCTTTCATTACAGTTACATTCATCCTGTCCTGGATATATAGATGTCTCCTGCTGTTGCCAAGGAAACCTGAGCTTCACCTCTATCTCATACTCGGAATTTTTACATTTCAGTTGCCTTTATTAGCCAACCCAGTCTCCAAAGTAAATGATGACACTGTACATTTCTGCAAAACACAGACATATAACATTTGTACAACATGTATGCAGCAGATACATTGAAGCTTTATGTTTCCTTATGTTTTCAGTTTTCAGTTTTATGTGTGACAATGCAATGGTTAACATGTGGTTACGTTTAGCACAAAAAACACTTGCTTAGGGTCTGGGAAATATGATGTTTTGACTTCAAATATCCTGTTTGGTTACCACAGCCACAGATGGAAATGTGCCATTCTCTCGTTAAAAAATAATTGCTTTGGTTGTTTGTTGGTTCTAACAGTGGTCTGCTGCTGTGTGCTGCTTACCAGCCATCACCCCTTAGTCTTACACCATCCACCATTCCCTCCATCTCCTGATGATGTAATCTTAAGTACTTCACTTTAGAAATGTTAATACATGTGAAACTTACAAATGCAACACATCCGTGGTTTGCAGAAAAGTGCAATGCTGGTACTTTGGTTTATGACCAAATTCCTGCAAAATTGATGTCATTCCTGTCAGCCTTAAGCAGGATTTATACTTGTGCAGCAGACCCTATGCTGTAGCCTACACACGTGGCCTATGCCAGTGTGAGCATTTATAGTTGTGTGGTGGTGTGTCTGTGTAACTCCGCAGTTACACTTCCAAAACAACAAATCTGCAGCCATATACTGGAGAGAACAGGATCACATTCGTTTGAGTGGATTGTGAAAAAGTTGGTGTATTTGGATGGCAGAAGTCTATTTCTGCAGCAAAGACTAGAATTTGTATGGTTGTTGAATTAAGTCTGCAGATAAAGCACTGGCAACAACAGCTCAGAAATTCAAAACTTCATGTCTCCACTGTGCCCCCTACCTGACACTGTAGAGGATGTTTCCATCTGGGTAAACCCGCAGCATGATGTTCTCCATGGTGGTGTCATGAATGAAGGAGCGTTTGGAGTGGACAAAGAAGACGTCAGGGACCCAGATCTTCTTCACGAGCCTCGAGTCAAAAGTCCTGCTCTGATTGTTTCGGGACGGAAACGACAGCCGTTCATCTTTCCAGTAGTGACGCAGGTACAGAGTCATGGTAAAGTCCTGCAGGATGCAACACCAAAGAAACAACTGCTTTGCATCTCAGTTTTGATTTTTATATTAATGAACTTATTTTCTTTCCTAGACTTCTTTTTTCTTTCTTTTTCTGTATGTTTGGCTTTGTTTAAGGCATGAAGTAATGCTAAAAATTAAGCTTAAAGAAAAACACATTTAGCAAAAGGTTTAATCTAAGGTTTTGTAAACACATTATCCTGGTAAAATTAATAATATTTGTGAGTAAAGTAAAAAGAGTGTGAAGAAAAACAAACAATTTTATATAAAATGTTGCTTTTATTTGGGAATATTAGAGCTTGAAAAGGCTCAGAAATCAATGTCAGTCATAAGATTAGATAAAAGTGCAAAAAGTCCAAAATCTACACAAGAATATTTAAAAAAACAAATAAAATGCCAGAAAATTAAGTAAGTGTAAGTATAAACCAATGGACAGTAAGATGCATGTCCAAACTGCACACAAACCAAAAAAGGATACTGGCAATGGTCATAATTAAACATGTTACTGGTGGGATTTCTCTGTAGCCTGACTGTGTCCAGCCTACATGCAGATTTTCACTGTTCCAGTTGAGGCTGCCATGACGACAATGTCCTCTGCTTCATTTATCTCTCTTAGCTGGAGGAACTCCATAAAACACTTGTAAATAAGTGGCCGGTTGAGTTGAAAGTGGAGCCCATTGAGGGGTCATAGTCCAGACAGGAAGTGACATCAGAGCAGCCTCTGGATCATAACTTTTATTTAACCCGACTCATTTGTTTTATAGTTGCTCACTTTTTGCCAGGTCATCCCCCTGTAAAAAAGTTTTATTGATAGTTTTTTTTTTTTAATTTTTTTTTTTTATTTAATGCTGTCTCTGGAATATATATAAAAAAGAAAAGTTTCTCTACCATACATCATTGTAACCAATTATTGCTACGCAGTCTTACAGAAATACATGAAATTGACATGTCCTGGGGCGGCCCCAAGGTCTCCTCCCGGTTGGACATGCCCGAAACACCTCCCAAGGGAGGGCATCCGGGAGGCATCCTTACCAGATGCCCGAACCACCTCAACTGGCTCCTCTCGATGTGGAGGAGCAGCGGCTCTACTCCGAGTCCCTCCCGGATGTCTGAGCTCCTCACCCTATCTCTAAGGCTGTGCCCAGCCACCCTGCGGAGGAAACTCATTTCGGCCGCTTGTACTCGCGATCTTGTTCTTTCGGTCACTACCCTGAGCTCGTGACCATAGGTGAGGGGTGGAACGTAGATCGACCGGTAAATTGAGAGCTTTGCTTTCTGGCTAAGCTCCCTTTTCACCACAACGGACTGGTTAAGCTCCTGCATCACTGCTGACGCCGCCCCAATCCGCCTGTCAATCTCCCGCTCCATCCTACCCTCACTCGTGAACAAGATCCCGAGATACTTAAACTCCTCCACCTGAGGCAGGACCTCCCCCCTGACCTGACCTGAAGTGGGCAATCCACCCTTTTCTGGCTGAGGACCATGGCCTCAGACTTGGAGGTGCTGATTCTCATCCCAGCCGCTTCACACTCAGCTGCGAACCGTCCCAGCGAGAGCTGGAGGTCACTGTTCGATGGAGCTAGGAGTACCACTTCATCCTCAAATAGCAGGGTCTAGATCCTCCTGTCACCTAACCTGACACCCTCCACCTCTCGGCTGCGCCTAGAAATTCTGTCCATGAAAGTTATGAACAGAACCGGTGACAAAGGGCAGCCTTGGCAGAGTCCAACCCTCACCGGGAACAGGTCCGACTTACTGCCGGCCACGCGAACCAGACTCGTGCTCCTTCGGTACAGGGACTGGATGGCCATTGGCAGAGGACCACCAACCCCATACTCCCGGAGCACCCCCCACAGGATGCCCCTGGGGACACGGCCATAAGCCTTCTCCAAATCCACAAAACACATGTGGACTGGTTGGGCGAACTCCCATGCCCCCTCCAGCACCCTGTCGAGGGTAAAGAGCTGGTCCACGGTTCTGCGTCCGGGATAAAAACCATATTGCTCCTCCTCAATCCGAGGTTCAACTATCGACCGGACCCTCTTCTCCAGCACCCTGGCGTAGACTTTATCGGATAGGCTGAGGAGTGTGATTCCCCTGTAGTTGGAACACACCCTCTGGTCCCCTTTCTTGAAGATGGGGACCACCACCCCGGTCTGCCACTCCAGAGGCACTGCCCCTGATGTCCACGCAATGTTGCAGAGGCATGTCAGCCAGGACAGCCCTACAACATCCAGAGCCTTGAGGTATCCAGGGCGAATCTCGTTCACCCCCTGAGGCTCCGCCGCCGCGCAGTTCCTTCACTACCTCGGCGACTTCTCCCCCAGAAATTGGATGACCCGCCCCCGAGACCCCCAGCTCTGTTTCCTCACTGGAATACATGTTGGTGGGATTGAGGAGCTCCTCAAAGTATTCCTTCCACCGCCCGACAATGTCCCCAGTTGACGTCAGCAGCTCCCCGCCCCCACTGTAAACAGTGTGAGCAAGTTGCCGCCTTCCCCCCCCTGAGGCGCCAGACGGTTTGCCAGAACCTCTTTGGAGCTGATCGATAGTCTTTCTCCATGGCCTCACCGAACTCCTCCCACGCCCGAGTTTTTGCCTCTGCGACTGCCGCCGCTGCGCTCCGCTTGGCCCGCCGGTACCCGTCAGCTGCTTCTGGAGACCCACAGACCAACCATGCCCTGTAGACCTCCTTCTTCAGCCTGACGGCTCCCCTCACCTCTGGTGTCCACCAGCGGGTTTGGGGGTTACCGCCGCGACTGGCCCCAGCAGCCTTGCGGCCACAGCTCGCAACATCCACCTCGACAATGGCAGAGCGGAACAAGGCCCATTCGGACTCAATGTCCCCCTCTGCCCTTGGGACGCGGTTGAGGCTCTCCCGGAGGTGGGAGTTGAAGATCATCCTGACAGGTTCTTCCGCCATGCGTTCCTAGCAGACCCTCACTGCTCGTTTGGGCCTGCCAGGTCTGTGCAGCGTCCTCCCCTGCCACCTGATCCAACTCACCACCAGGTGGTGATCAGTTGACAGCTCTGCTCCTCTCTTCACCCGAGTGTCCAGAACATATGGTCGCAGGTCAAATGATACGACTACAAAGTCAATCATTGACCTGCGACCTAGGCTGTCCTGGTGCCACGTGCACCGATGGACATCCTTATGCTCGAACCTGGTGTTAATTATGGCCAAACTGGCACAAAATGTGTTAAAAATATTTTTATTGTGAACTGGACAAAATAATTGTTTAGTGTATGTCTCAAATGTTAGACCTGACTTAGTCTGAATAAGTATTAAAACACACTGTGGTGTATTTGTGCAAACAAAGAACAAAGAATCTAGAATTTTCATTTGGATTATTCAGATTAATGATTGGGGACTTCCCATCATGCATTTAAATGACTTTTAATATTAAAAGTTAAAGTGGCTTTAAGATATGAAAATAACATGACCTCAGACTTGTGAGGATCGACTTAAAATCATTTTCACAGATATAGATATAACTACGTTACAAGAACTTACATGAATATAACGTAAGGCTTTTACACAACAGTAGAATTTTCCTCAAAACTTTAACAGGTTAATTTGTTGAATTTTCTGTCATTACAAAGCTGTACACTGATCAGGCTCTCTGCCACGTTCACTCGTGGATGGAACATGTCTGAAGTCACAGTTGATCAGGTACAGTATGTTTTCCCATCATCACAGCTGGAAATGAAGTTTAAGATATTTCAGATCCTCACCATGTTGACCTCTGAGATGCTGTCGATGCTCTCTACCTGCACATCGATGCCCACAGGGATGGCTGCACCTGAAACAACAAAGTCATTTGTTTTGAAGTCAATGACATAAACTCATTTATCAAGGCAAAGTTACTGCTAGGAATGGCCATGTATATCAGATCAGCCTGCAGGGAAACTGTTCTCACACCACTTGAGACATTTTGTAGAAAACTATTTATCTGCAAGAGTGACCAAAATGACTAGAAAAAGACACAAAACAAACCTTGGAGACACAAATTGACTACAAATCGTCATAAAACCACAAAAATATGCATAAAAATGACAAAGAGACGCAAAACCAGAAACCACCACAAAGTGTGAGTGGCTTTCTCCTGTGTAGGGAGGTAGTGGGGCCTTTTGCAAATCTGGGTACCCATTGTCTCACAATCCACGTATGAATGTAATGCACATCCTGATTTTGCCAAGTGGTTGTTGTCCTGAGAACAACATTTTGTATGATAGCCCTGGGACAACAACTGCCTCAGCTGATCGTTTGTGATGTCATCAAAGAGAGCCTTGCTGTCAGTGCCCTGCAACACAAAATGGCTGTGCAAAGAGAAGCATATTACAAGATGAGATAGTCCGCTACTACAGACATTAAAATATATTTGCTTTTCATATTAATTGTTAGTATTTTGCCACCATGGAAATAAGCTCACATTGGCTTGCAAGGGTGAGCTAACGGCTAGCCAACTGGGGCACTAGCTGCTCTGTATTAACTCCTTGAACAGAACAGAATACTATAACTTTAACTTTCATTCCTGCTCAATTTAGAAAGGCCATTAGTAAAAATGTGTTCTTTGTTTGGATTGTCAAAGGGACAGTGAGTCATAGATGTTTGTTTGGCTGCTAGAGTTAGTGGGCTGGCTGTAGCGCGCTAGCATTAGCATGCTTTTTTTCAGGATTGTGCCCAGTGACAGAAAATATTGCACAATTAAAGTGAGGCTTATGGGGAACCAATCTGAAGTGCATGATACACCAAGAGCACCTTTTTATGTGGTGGTCTTTTTCAATGAGCAGTGGGGGAAGTTATTGACATAAATGATCAAGCAATTGATTAGTAGAAAGCATTACTAGCATGATTGCTAGCTAGCTATCTCTGTTAACCAAACCATGTATGTTCTGAAGTCACCATTGCTTTATTTCTTTTTACATGGTATTTACATGGTACATGGAATTTTCTCATTTTTCAAATTTTCATACATCATTGAAATATGTGAGACTAACAACGTTTTCTTCAGGAATTCAATGTAACAGGTGGTAAATAACTGATGTACAAATGGTCGTTTTAGTGTGAAATATTCCTTTGATGAGAGAACAGGACCTTTCTAGCTGTGTTTGTGGCAACCAAACTGGATATTTTAAGCCAAAACATGATGCTTTCCTGACCCTAACCAAGTGATTGTTGTGCCTAAACCTAACCGTCACAATAATCACAATATTGGCATAACACACTAAAACTAAAAGTTTCAGCATATCTGCTACATATGAAACATGAATGTAACATATCTGTCGTTTGCCGAAACTTACAATGCCAACATTTATTCTGGCAATTATGTTGAATTACTGCATAACAGACAATCAATTGTGATAATACATTTCATACAATGTTCAGTAAATAATTTTAGGTGCTTAAGTTGAAGAAAAATGAATGAAGGGGGTAATTAAATTGTGTTTTCATAAAATTGTCTGCAACTGTTTCTGCAGCATCAAAATCCTGCACTGAAACCTTCAGTAGAGAGTTTTAGTGTCCCATGACAATATACATGATGCTTCAGAGGCTTTTCCACCCTAACATCAGTAAAACTTTGGTAAAAACACTGTAAATTAAAAAAAAAAGAACAAAAAGACAATTGGCCAGTACAATTAGTGTAAAAGTCCATGGTACAGAAGCATTCAAGGCTCTCTGACTGTAGTTAAAAATCCCCTATTAATCCATGAATCGATAAAGGATTTTTAACTACAGTCAGAGTGCCCGGGATACAGTTTTGGACTGTCTGCCACTTCCATTTGTACACTGTGTGAGCTGCCCAGTCATTGTTTATTTACTTTTATGTGACTTTGCCCCATCCTCGAAGAGTACCTGATTTATTTATTTATTTATTTATTTTACAATTATTTACGTAGTGCCTTAATCCAGTGCAGCACTCCCTATTTTTCGTCAATGTAAATGTAACTTGTTTGGGATAAAACTGGTGCAACATCACTTGTCAGCAGGTCAAAGGTCAGCAGGTCTTTCAGCAGTTTCTGTATCTCTTCAATAACATCATCTGTATCGGCCCTCAAACCTCATTTTTGTGGAACACTGGTAATAACATCCTTTGTCTTTGCCACCAGCTCACCGCAGCCATCAACATCTGTCCTCCAAACTCCCCCGCTCCATCCGCCTCATTAGCAGATTAAGCTTGTTTAACCTCTAAACCTGAACAGCCTGATTTGTGCACACAAACAGAGCAGAAATAGCTAAACACAAATCCTCCCCCAAAAAACAAGCTTCAATCATGGCTACTTACTCCCTGTTTTACTGCTCTGCCTCCACAAAGCAATCATGACTTCAGGAAGGAGGTTTTCAGGGACGTTTGTCCACTGACTCTGACGCTGTACGGTGGTCTTTTCTCCTTCGCTAAAAATCTACTTGGCTAATTTTAGGATTTATCCACGTCTGCGGCCTGTAGACTAAGGAGCTCATTCCTGACCCGACCACAAGCATCAGCAGCAATGATTCTACTGTTGACTTAAACTTTAAAACATATCCATCTTTAAGATGTTCCTTACAGTCAATGACAGAAGTTTAACAATGCGGGGAATGCATTGGATAAATGAGCCATTGTGACCGTCAGCCTCCAGTACTGCTAAATCACTTCTGACAACTGTGAACTTTGTTTTGGGTATTTGCAGCTCAAAATATGTTGACATTTAGACTACACTAAAAATGGAATGCTCTTAGACATATAGTACATCATAATTCTTATTTCAACAGTATTTTAGTGAGTTTTCAATGCAAAGCAGGTCCTAACATTAAAATATACTTATTTTAATGATGTGGAGACATAAAGCACTTTTCAAAACAGACGTTACAAAGAACTTTACAAGAAGAAGGACATAAGATAGAAGATATTTCAAAAAACAACCATAATTAAGTGTACAGCACACAAAGTAAAAGTTATAAAAATGAAAAGAAAAGTCTCACACACTGATTTGCAATGATCTGAAATCTTTTACACTTTGTGGGAGGCTGAGTCCATGAGCAACAACAGGCAAAGCATGGACCTCACCAGAAGTCCTAAGTGGGGCTACCTGCACTGTAGGTCAAAAGTTAAAAAAAAAATCATCCTAAAAGAGACATTTTTATTTTTTATTCTTTTCCATTGTGTTTAGCTACATTGAAATGTTGCAATGGAAAAAAAAAAAGATTGAAAAAAATGTTTTCACTCAGTTTTAACCTACATGCCTGGAAAGGGTTGTCTGTAGTCTTATTGTGCCAATTACCAAAACCATGTCTGCTGGTTTAGTATGCATAAACACACACACACACATATACGTGCAGTCTCACACACCACACATGGGTTTGTGATCTCTGTCTGGATGTGGTTTACCAGGTTACATTCCTGTTTTCACCCTCAGGCCAACAAGACAAAAAAGATGTCCTCGAAAGTGTCTGTGTGCTTTGTGTGGATGTAAAGTGTGTTAATTCCACTTGAATGTTAGCAGGACGGCAGCTCAATAAACACTTTATTTAATGAAGTTCATCTGACAGCCAGGACCATAAAGCTCCTGCTGCAGTCCGGCTTTGTCCCTGCATGACTTATAAAAACCACCAAGCGGTGCAGACTCAACATTGAGCGTAACCCTGACAACGAGCACTCCTTGGTGGGAAAAACCTGAAATAGAAGGTCACTCACTCTCTCTCTCTTCTCTTTACTGCTGTCTTTTCCCATGTCACACCCAGTCAGAGTATGTTTAAGGCGGTTTATGGAAAGACTCATGCAAAAAGAGGTCAGATCCAACTCTCTAGGTTTATGTGATGCAAAGATACAACATCAACACAAAGCTTTTATATTTAAACAGATTGCAGATCTGGTTGTCAGTCATTATCACCTCCTGATTTGACAAACGTCCTGAACATCAGCTTGCTCACCAAGAAAGGCTCAGCGGAGGATGTACTTCCTGCAGCAGCCAAGTCAGTGATGGTGCACTTTTACACTACTGACTTTTTAGGACCCTGAGCCGCAACCCAATCGCCGGAGAAATGTTGGAATTGTAGGTTTAACATAACATTTGTTGTTATCTAGTATATATCTTGAAACTTTACCTTGACACTTTACATTTTAGCAATGTTGTGGTTAACATGTGGTTAGTGTAAGGCACCAAAACCATTTGGTTACGGTTTGGAAAAGACCATGTGGTGCTTAAAATACAGTTTTGGTAGCAGAATCTGGCTGAAAATGTCTCACTAAAAACACTTGCTTTTATTGGCACATTTGCTGCTGGAAATGTGGCTAATGTTTCAGTAAAAAAAATACATGCTATAACTGCAGCTAGATATGCCACAGATGTCTCGTTTAAAAAGCCCACATTTGGCGGCACAATCACCGCTGAAAAAAACCCCAATTGTGGCTAGAAATGCCCCCTATGTTTTGCTAAAAAAAAACCCACCTGCATTTAGTGGCATGATCGTCGCTAGAAATGCTTCCGATGTCTCGTTAAAGGCACCTGCTTTTGGTGGTACAATCGCAGCTGGAAATGCTGCCAGTGTTTTGTTAAAACACACCCGCTTTTGGTGGCACAAATCCGGCTGTAAATGCTTTCAATGTCTCGCTAAAAAATTGCGCCAACCACCATACCCTCCACCTCCAAGTGACCATCTCAGTTCAAGTTCATGTATCTGTACTATGTCACTTTAGAAATGTTGATATGATACGTATATAATGTTCAAATGTAATGAATCATGGTTTGGAAAAATATTCATTGCCAAAGTTTTCTTCTGTTAACTGGGCTGTGAAACAAGCAGAAGAGATTGCGGCTGATC